GGAGGGAGGCGGAGGAGGCAGAGGCGGAGGCGGCGGCGGCGGAAGAGGAGGAGGGGGAGAGTGAGGGGGAGGCGGAGGCGGGGGCACCTGTGACGGCCCGCTACGAGAAGGGCGAATACCGGTTCGCGCGGGAGAAGAATTGCGACCTGCGTTTGCTCGACTTCGAGACGTTCGGCGGCTTCGGGGACGGCGTCCGCAGAATTCTTCGGCAGGCGGCGGACCAGCTGAGTAACAAACTTTCGCACGCTCAGCACCTCGATGAGGTCACATGGACCACCAAGAACTGGCACGGGCTGCAGATGCAGCGCTTGTCTGTCGTTCTCCACACCGCCGTGGCGTGGCAGACGGTGAACGAGCTAGCGTGCGGGGACAGCGGCATTGTGCACGGAGCTAAGTGCATTGCCGTTCTTAACGGAGTCGCTTAGGCGGCTCCGGTGGTGTGCCGGTGATAGTACTAGCACGCGCCAGTTCGCACCTGTGTCGAGCCTGTCTGCTGTGAGAGAGAGTTGTTTTGTCTAAATTCTTTGGGTAGTTCGAGCTGCCGATGGCGCCGGCGCACCGGGAGCACAACTGCATCCACGAGCACCTTGGAGAGCCTGTCGAGCCGCGCCGGCGCACGCGCCAGCTCTACGAGGCCGGTGAGGGAGGGCCGCCGCCGGAGAAGAGCGGCCCGGACGAAGGCGATGGCGACGCGAGCGGGATGCAGCCGCTGCGCATCGTGATCAACACGGACGCGCTGCGGTCCGACCCGGGGTACACGTGCTTCCGCGTGGGCGAGTTCGTGAACGGCCAGCCCTGCCGCCAGGAGCAGGTGCTGACTCCCGTCAAGCGCTCGACGCTCGAGGAGTCGCTCATGCCGCGCGCCGCCGCGTTCTTCTCCAAGGCCCTCTCGGTGAAGCGCGTGGTCGGCAATTTAAGGTGCGGACTTGTGCACACGTCGCTGCCTGCGGGAGGGATCTCTCCCACCATCTCGCTGCGAACAGGCTCGGCTCCTTTCGTTGCGGCTTTAGCGGCGGCGTGGCGGTTCCCGCGAGTCGTGCTTCGGCCACCGGCCGCGACGAACGGCGCCGCTTCAGAGCACCGTGTGCTGTGAGCAGGTGCCGCGCGAGTATGCCACCACCGGCGTCGAGGGCGCCGAAGCCTAGACGCTGAAAATCCCTTCTTGTATTCCAAGGAGCGACGAGAGGACACGTACATGGCTGCACTCGACCGTATTCAGCCGTATTCACTGCATTCGTAGCCATCGACGGTGCTACGAATACACGGCACGTGGCCGTATTCCCGCCCTGTTGTTGGCGTGCTCACCATAGGCGCGCCAGCTCACGATGATTACTGATTGTTAATGCTGGTGAACGTGTAATGACTGTTTCACGGTTCTACTAGGCGCCGACATTGTCTTCTTCGTCACTGCGCGGCCAATTGCGGCGCAGACGGGCTCGGACACCATCGCCTTCAGCGGTCACTGCGAGGTGGACCAATTCGGGCGGCCGATTGCGGCGCATTTCAACTGGTCGCCGGTTCATTTGGACGTACCAAACAGCGACTTCGAGTCCACGTACGTGGTCAAAGAGTTGTTAGTTCACAGTAGCGACCAGCCAGTGCCGAGCAGCGACATCGCGTCCACGCACGTGGGCGGGTGGTTGATGAGTTCACTCAAAGGCACTGAATGCGCCACCGACTGCCCGCCCCTCCCGCCGCGGGCGAAGGTACCTCCTCCGCGTGGCGCTGCACGAGATGACCCACGCATTAGTCTTTTCGCCCGGGCTCTTTGACCAGTTCCACCGCCAGCCGGCCACCGCCTTCTTGCCGGCCGTCGGCGCGTGCAGTATAGCGCATGACTCATTGACCGTCCCTTTAATTCTGGAGAGCCAGTCGTGCAGCGCGCCAAGGAGGAGCGACCATGTTGCAGGCGGCGGCCGCACTCGCGCCATCGTGACGCCCCGCGCGCTGCGAGTCGCGAGGAACCACTTCGACTGCCCCAAGCTTGAGGGCGCACCGCTAGAGGACGGCGGAGGCGCGGGCACGGGCGGCGCTCACTGGGAGATGCGACTCTTCCGGGACGAGTACATGACGGGCGCCGCGCCCTAGAAGCGGACGATGAGATCGCCCCCCCCATGCTGGCCCCGAATCGCCCTGGAGGGGAAACGCATTTGGCCGCCGCACGCCGCGGTAGTTTAAAGCAGGGCCTCCTTTTTTTCGCAGCCCGGGGCCTCCACG